AAAGAGGCTCTATTTTTAGAATGAAAGCAACTGAATTTATTTTCTCATGTAGTTATTAAGCCAACAGACACTGACAACCTTTAGTTCACATAATAAATGTTTTATTGAGTTTAACTTCTTGGGAGTAGGAAAGTAGATATTAAATGAAGTATATTTTCTTCTCTGGAAAAAAAGAACTTATAAAACATGCTGCCCAAAGAAAGCTGTTGGTTTAGAATACTACTGTTTTTTGAAGAACTAGATGGGACCTTAGTGCCACAGTCAGAGTCTTAAGCATCCCCTTTGCTGGTCCCCAGGCGATGAGGCTGAGAGTGGATGGGACTTCTAACGTCACTGAGGCTGCCCTGGAAGGGGGCAGCTTTCCTTGGCTCCTACCTTTGAGCAGATGGTTTTGCTTTGCGTGCCCTTCTGCAACAAAGACTATTATGGACTGCAACCTCCAAAACTGTGACCCCCAAATACCCACCCCACCCCTGCTGCTGCATGCACCCAGCACTGGGGACAGAGCCCCAGCCTCATACATGCTGAGCACACACTCTGCTATGGAGCTACATCCCCAGTTCACACCTTTTCTTTGTATGAGTCAATTGCCTCAGCTATTGGTTATTGTGACAACAAGCTGATTAATATGCTTAAATATCCAATTATCTAGTTTTATAAGACAAGAAAAGCAAGAAAAATAAAATAACTTTTTTCCAAATTACACTACTAATTAGATGCAGAGCTGGCAAGAGAAAATACGTAATTCTTTTTTCTGAGGTATATTCCTGTAACAGGCCTATGACTGTATTATCTCCAATTTCTCTTTAAGGAAGACCAGAAACTCTGCCATCTGAAGAGTAAGCAGACAAGCAGTTTAGTCAAGGGTTAATACAATTTGCTGTTTTAAATTGTAAAGTCAGATTGAAACGTAGGTGTATCTTTTAAAAGAATCACTTCCTCTCAGTACACACACTGAAATAGAGGTGGATTCTGTATCCTCTTTTCTCTTGCAGTTTAATGAACTGATATACTAATTTGTATTTAAGCAAAATAATTACTGAAAATTTCCTTTAAACATGCAAATGTTATGGCCTATTTCTATAGTGCATGAAAGAAAACTCTTGGTAGAATTATATTAGTGCATTTGAAGTTGCCTTGAAGGGGTATGCAATCTGCCTTCTACTTGGAAAAAGAAAAGCATTAATTTTGAGCCTGCTGCAACTGAAATAAGCCACTTTCCCCTCTCAAATATTATCCCTGTGCTCTCTCACACTCTCAACACAAACACACACACACACATCTAAAGGCCTTGGTTTTCCGCACAGATGCCTTTATTTAGTGACTGTGAACTGGAAACAGACTTGGCCTTTTGGGGGTTGTGCAGGGCTGTGAATTAAAGTAAAAAAAAAAAGATAATGAAAGATGGAAGGAAAGTTCAGCTTACTCCATATTGATCTCTCAGATGGGTTTTGAACTGACAGGGAAACAGCATTGAGAAGCAGAGGCTGGAGATGGGATTTTGGAGGATTCTGGACATGCAGAAGCTTCTTTGGGGGCCAGGACATGAAGGATATGGTGGAGAATGTGGACGTTATTGCTTCTGCAAACAGCCCAGCGTCACAGAACCAGTGTCAGGAGTGTCCAGATGTAACCTCATCCTGGGCACAGTGTCCTCGTGGTGGGGCTGGCTACCATTAGATGGCCCTTGTTTGTTCCCCAGGGGTGTTCAGAAGCCAGGCAAGAAGGGTAGGAACAGAGCAAGAGACTGGTGGTCAAAGTACTGATGGTTTGCTGAGTTGCAAGTGAGATATACTGTTTGTCCCTTGTGGATGTAACTGGAGATGCTCTGAGACAGGGCATTTTCTATGCTATGCTCTTTCTCACTCTGAAAACTTTGAGATATTGTACTAATACTGTTAGATACTATTATTGCTTATTCTATTACTTACTCTTCTCACACTGAGATAACCATACACTGGAGGTGCATCAGAGGTGTGTTCTAAGCATTAGCCTAAGCATAGGCCACAAATGAGAAGATCTGAAGAGGAAAAATTAATTAGCTAATCTGTAAATTATTTAAAAGCTTGCTTTTATATTAAAATAATCAAAAAATATTTTATAAAATAAAAATCACCATATTTTTAGGACATTATATGAAAAAAGATGAAATAGCATTAAACTGTAATGAGGAACAGTGTGTCCCTGTGAGGGGCAGGTGTTGATGGGAGCACACATGGCTGGCAAATGGTTGAGAACTAAACATTCATTCACTGCTGACCAGGCTCTTCTGAGCATATCCACGACTTCTCATAGGGTGACCGAAAGACAGCTTGTGACCCCCATGTACAACTTCACTTCCTGCTAGACCTCAACTTGCCAGAAGATTCTCTGAAATGTGACATGCACTACCAGGACAGGAAGCCAGTCTTCAGCTGAGGGGATGTCACTGGTGGTGGATGGCAGGCATGCCCTCATGGGGATGTCTCACAGGGCGTTTGCCTCTCCCAGGCAGTCCTGGCTGATGCTGGTTCACATGAGGACATCAAGGTTCAAGCCTCCTGCCTAGAGAGCTTCTAATGTGTGAGGACTCCATGCATCCCATAGTGGGCCAGCTCCTCCCTAGGTCCATGCTACACTCATGCTTCCTTATTTATTTATCATGAGAGCACACTCCCCCGACCTCTGCATGCTACTCCATGTCTTAGAGATGTTTCCAGAGAGCCTAAATTAAGACAACTGCTGTATTCATTAGGGTTCACTAGAGGGACAGATTTAGTATAAAATATACTTTTGATTGTAGGAAGTATTTACTAGGTATGCTTCCAGTGACCACCTGTGGAAGGGGGGTGGAGAATACAGAACACCATCTGGATCTAAGAGAGCTGGAGGATCTGGTGGCAAGAAATTCAAAGGGATGGAGCTCACTGCAGAGTCTGCTGTGAGTCCCTGTCTGAAGGTGAAGGGTCTGTGTTGGAAGGCTAAAGAATCTTGGCTGAAGCCTGAAGGAACAGAGACAAAAATTCAAAAGCAGTGGCAAAGACCAGAGCTTCTCCAAAGAAGAAAAAGGAGAGACTTCCTTCCTCTTCCCTTTATAGTCTATCCAGGCTACAAGATTATTGGTTGGTGCCTCCCATATCTGGGCGGGTCTTCCCTCCTCAGTTGGAGTCCTACATGTCAATCCTCCACAGACATGCTCAGAACTGTGCTAATCTGCTGGGTGGTTCTTACTCAAATTGACGTCACAATCAATGATCACAAGTGCCATCTAGATTCTCCCCTCTTGAGGTATGGGTTTCATCATGGATTAAAAAAATAAAAAAAGCCAGACTGCTGAAGGGCAGAGTTAAATTACAGTATACAGACAGGCTCAAGAATAAAATAACAATATTCCAGTTCAATAAACCAAAGGAAAAGTACCCTAATCCATTGCTGAACTATTCGTGACATTGTCTTCACTTTGCATCTCACTATAGATTAATTGTTGCCTGTGTAGTTCCATTCTCACCATTCTCACCCCCATCCCTCAGGATTCCTTTATCTATACCTAATAATAAAAACCTCAGCATTTCCTACAAATCCTTCCCATGTGATAGCAACACTAGAGCATGAAGTGCGAAGCCCAAGTTCCCATCAGAGACAACCATGACTCCAAGACCGGTTCATCTCCATGTGGCCCTAACATGAAGACAGAAATAATGCCCAGCAGCGTAGACTTACAGCCAACCTCGAAGGAGTTACAACACATGAAAATCATCTCTGTATTCTCACATGGGATAAAAGTATTTATTTTGAAATCATTAAAAGAGATGTTTGTAAAGAATACTAAAGATCCAAGACTGATTTTAATTCATGCCTCTAGAAAATTAGGAGTAACTACCACACTGAAAACAATTGTAGATAAAACATGAAAGTCACCTTCATGAATAGTGCACAGAAGGAGGAACCACAAGGCCAGTGCAGATGGGAAAGTGAAAAAAGCAGAAAGTGAATGAATAGAGATGCAGACTGAGGCACATTTGAATTTCTGTTTTAGTGCCCAATCAGAGCAAGACAGACAGAGATCCAAACTGAGGAGTACAGAGGTGGGAACTCTTATGGGACAGGCTGCCTCATGACCTGGAGCAGGAGAGGCTACATCTTCAGAGCAGAGCCAAGTCTTGCAGTCCAAGAAAATGGGTGCATCTAGAGGCCATGATGCTGAGTGAAATAAATCAGACACAGAAGCTTATGAGAAACCCAAAGGATCAATAATTTAAAGAGAAAAATAAGAGAGATGGTGGGAAACAAGGAGGTAGACTCTGGGAAATTGGGAAGGGGATGTGAGGAAAGGATGACAGGGGATGGGAGGAGTAAAAGGGATTAGAATGTAATATACATATGCACCGAGTCTCCGAGAGAAATGCAATTATTATGTATTACAAACATACATTACTAAGAAAATAATTTAAAAAGAACTCCAGACTTTGAACAGGCTTAAGAGGGCTCTGAACAGGTGGCCTCCTGGGCACCCAGGAATGGCTACAACCAGCCTCTCTCAAGACCTTTCATGCAGCCGGAGGTCCAGCGTGTGCACTGTACAAACCCAGGGCAGCCCAGGAGGAAATGAAGACAAGATAGACACAGGAATAGGCTCCAAGGCCTTCAAGTATGAAAATAATCAGGTAAGGACTGCAGATCAACAGTGTTTACTGGACTTAGAAATATAATGAAAAGTGTAAAATATCTCAGGAAACAGGCAACTATAAATAAGAAAATTATCCTGCATTTCAAAAGGAGCTAAATGAACTCCTAATAAATGAAAAATACAGTACCTAAAAGAGACCTTCCCAAAGGTCTCTATTTTAGGATTAGGATTTCAACACACACATTTTGGAAAGACACAAGCATTCAGAGTGTAGCTAGTACACTGGGAAAACATGCATCAAAAGAATGGACTGTATGCACTTTTTTGATTTGTCTTTTTATTTGCATATTAATGTAATGTACTTACAAAATGTATTGCTTTTTTTACACCCACTACAATATTTATGTAAATTTATTTTAAGATTGTATTATACTAATGCTAAAGATCATTTATGAGGTGCTTCAATGTGACCAACATTATTTTAGACTTTTTAAAAATGCACAATTCTACTTAATTATGACAAAGTAGATGTCATTAAGCCCATTTAAAGATAAGGAGGGAGACTTAGGCCAAATACCACACTTCTAGATAATAACAGAGCTAGGATTAAAATTCTGTGTCCTTTACCTTCAAAATGCATCCTTCAAACTAATCTTTAGGCCCTGGGTTTATATTTTTTAATTCATTCCTTTCATGCTTCAGAAACCATAGATGCTACATAGAAAAAGAAGTTAAAATATCTGAAGCAAATTACTAGTCATATTTACAAAGCAGAGAGTTATTTCTGTAAATTATCCTAATTTTTCAAAAATAACAATTTGTAATTTGTTAATATTAAATCAATTTTAAATAAGTAGTCAATTTGCATTCATTGATTAAGATGAGTTTGTTTAATTTAATTTTTTAATAGACACAACTAACTGCTTCACACATCTCCCTATTAGAAAGATAATAAATACTGACATTGACAATATTGGTATTTACTTTTACATTTTTGAAAAGTTACATTTGCACTCTGGAAATCTGGAGAGGCTGTGATTGCCACTGTAATAGTTCCTCATGCACATCACCCCTGGACGGGGTAGGCGTTTCCCTTCTCCAGTCCAGGCCCAAGGACAGAATGATGCCGACAAAGCTGTCCTCAGGAAAGGCCCTGAGAACTGGGAATCGTGGCGATCACGTCCTCCCTTGGCCTCTTCTTGGTATAATGAAATGAGAAAATTTCATAAATTTGAAAAATGTTGCAAATTAGGAGAAACACTTCCACAGACAGTTCTTATCTGAAAAATAAATTTAGGAGTCAGGGATTTTGACCTCTAGGCCCACATCTCTATAGGAAATACATTTTCAATTTATGATCAGTAGAGTGCCCTTCAATTTAAGTGTAACCCAGAACTCTGATCTTAGTACCATACTGAGATGAGGTGAGGCTGCCAATTTTAGACCTCAAGCCAAATCCCAGGCATAGTTGGGATCAAAACAGATCCCAGTTCTTGACCATTAAGGGCCCAGCCCTGGAAAGAGACAGCATGCAAACAGGAGGAAAGTTTGAAGAAACCTGGTCACCTTGTTGTAAGGGTTGTAGAAAGTCCCAGAATGAAGATTTGTCAGTTCTCAAGTTGATCCTTCTGGCAGGTCTACGGAAGGACACCATAAGTCTGAAGGGCCAGCGAAGCTCAGGAAGATTTTGTAGACTGTGGAGGGAACATAGAATGGAAGAGATCATCCACAGTGGTGGTTCCTCTAAAGTCATGAGAAGCTCCTTTGCTGAGATGGATCATCTTGGCTTTGTCAGGCTGAGCAGGCCTTCTTTGCTTTCTTATTAGTTCCTAGGGACCTCGGGATGATGAGAGCGGGTGACATCAGCTCCTGGGAGGGGAGCAGAGTGTTCCTCCAGCCTCCTGCTCCTGTGTGACTTCTCCTCACCTCTGGAATGGTGGGGCCCTAACAGAGGATCCCCAGCTTCATTATCTTAACCTCTCCCATTTCAGCCATGACCTTCACGCCTGACCACATTCTGAGCTGGAAAGCACTGCAGATGAGAAAACCATTGCTTCACAATGTGTATTTTTATTCTTCCATTTGTGCTTCCTAACAGATGCTTAATGCTCCCTGGCATGATTAAAAATACAATGAGGTATAGCGACAATTGATTGGGCATTTCACCATTTAAGAAGTTTGCATGGTCTAATCAATCAGATACTCATCACAGTAAATCTCAGTTACATATGGAAATACTGACAGAATTAAAGAGGAAGACAAAAGATCACTGCACACACAGAGTAGATCTTATTAATATAAATTAAAGTTACATGAGACTTTAGAATACATATGTCCTTATTTTAAAATATTTGGACATCAGTTCATTGCCTTAATCTCCTCCTATCTCCAAAGATTACCAATTCTGTCCTTGACCATGTTTCTAAATTCCTTTATTACACTAGCACATTATCTCTTAGTGAGTGAAACCCCACTCAATTTAAAGGGTCTAGGAAAATATTTACATCTTCTCTCCTGCATTGTTTCAACATCTCTTCTCCCTTTCTCTATATCCCCTTGCTAAGAGAAAATAATAATAATAAAATAGTATTTGAGTTTTGCATTGTTTCTGTCAGGTTATCAAAAGTCTAGGTTTTTCTTAAACAGTCACCTCTTTTGTTCAGCTCATGTTCTTGTGTGCTCTTAGCAAATACAGTTTCTTTCATTGTCACAGGCTGTATACATAGCCCTCAGCACCATCTGAATTTGGCCAACCCCCACCTGGTAGCCCTGATTGAGGGATTCTACTCACACTGACTATTTAGTGACCCTAGCAATCATTATTGAGTGAGAGCTGGGTCACCACAACTGGAAGAGATTCCTTTAATAGAAAAACACTTCCATGAGGCCTCAGTCACACCAAGATATTTTTCTCCAACGGTTTAGACATTTTGCAATCCATATACACTATCTGAGTGAGTTGTCTTACAATGTAATACATATTTGAATTTTTTACTTATGTCTAGATTTCCCGGTGTCTGTGCCCAATTCCAAATGGAGAAGCCTTGACAGCTTCATGTCCTCTCATCTACCTGCCACGTTTCTTCTAGATGCATAAAAGCTTCAGATCATCTTCAATTTTATGAGCTATATGCTAGCCTTAATTTATTTGCCTTAATTATGCTCTTTTTGGCCCATTTATTCTCAATGCCAGCAATTTTGTCCAGATTTACCTTGCTGTTGAGAAGCATCAACGTGGCAGTGCTGTTGAGCTTCCTTAATACGGGAAGTAACAGAAGTTCTTTGGGGAATGTCCAAAGAGGTTGTTAGGAGAAAATCTACCTCTTGTAGACACTTGTTTGCACAATAAACATGCTCTAGAGACTTGGGGGCACATCAGTTCCGTGTGTGAGCAAACTATATAATCAGTTCTGCAACAGAGCAGCAGTCAGGAAGCTGTTTCCAGCATCACCTAGAAGCTCAGGGATAGCACAAGGCTGCCAGAGAAAAGACCCTAGAGACCTGTCCTCGATTTCACATTGTCATGATGCTCTCTGTTGAGAATCTGTAAGTGCCTGGCTTTACTACAGTCAGAAGAACATTGTTGAATGTAAATCATTTGGTTTGGGTCTGAGATAACTGGTATGGATCATGCTCAAGATTCATTATCCACTTCTCTGCTCCAGTGGCTTCCATTTCAGTTCACCTGCCTCTCTGTGGATCTCATGTTACCATCATCCTGTGGAATTGATGTCCTCTATCCAGGGCATAAAACAGAAAAGCAGCAAGCACAGTTGAGTTACCATCAGAAAGCAGAAAATACAAACAGGCATTCTGCAAGTTTCAGAAAAGCAGAAATTCCCAGAGCATTTCGAAAGCTTGCCTTTTTGGAGACTGCACAAGTCCAGCTATGCCAGTGGCACTGACTTTGGAAGCAGATATCCCTTTAAGAATTGAAGCTGCACAGGCTGGCAAGGGACCTGGAGAACGTGCAATTTCCAAAGCCCTGTCCAACTGCGCATTAGAAATTTGGACCAGGTCTGTGCCTGGGATGCCAACCTCATTACTGCCAGGAAGGAAGTAGCTGCTCAAATGAAAAGGAGATAAATAAGCTTCTTTGTCATACTTGTTCCAGCAAAAATATCTGAAATTCTATTTAGCATGAAGCAAATTGCTGCAAGGGTTCAGAGTTTGTTGTCCTTTTAAGGAGTCTGTGTCCAGCTACATAAGTCTCTACAAAAAACACAAGATACTGGATGTTGTTTGGTGAGCAATTTCATTGGCACCATTTTGGGATATCATCCAACTCTATTTTCAATCTTTTGGTGTAGCTTAGATTTGTTGGTAGTTCTTATTTCTATTATTTGAATCTTGTTTTCCTTGTAGCCACTCAAGTGGAATGGAGACAGCACTAGAGCTAGACCCAGAAAAGACATGTGTTGAAAAGATTTCTGCAAGCACCAGGTGGCAATTGATAGTATCCGGCGTGAAGGCAATTATGACAAGGGAAACACTGCTTCCATAGTCATGAAATTCCAGTAACTCCTCCCACCATCCACATTCAGCTGGATGTTTTCCACCCTTTTCCTTAGAAGCTAAAGTAACTCCTTGGATGGTTATTTTGTACCTAGTAGCAGAATTTCAGTCCTTCCTGCAGTAGTGTTTTGTTGGGAAACAGTGATATTAATGACACACGGCCTTCAGAGATGTTTCCCCCTGGGTCTTTTCTGATTCTGAGCATGTTCTTTGGGTAATTTTGGCTGGCAACTTTGAAAAGGCACATGAGCCATCCTTACAGAGGCCATATGACCTGACCAATAATATACAGCAACTCAGCTACTCATCAAGGACTTCAGTGATTAAAGGAACTGATTCTCTGTTCCCTCATTCCTTCTCCTTCTGAGACTGGTGCTAAAGGACCCCTGTGCCTTCTCATCCCTGCTGCAGGGCTTGGCTACAACCACCGTATTTCATGTATATCCAGAAAGGTGAGCTGTTGTTACTTACAGATGAACTGAGTTTCCTTATTGATAATCTCTTTCATTTTTCCCCCTCAGCAAACCTAACTAGCATATCCTTCTATTTGCTACCATTGAATCCTTTCTTCTTAGATAGACTGTAAGTCTTCAAAAGGCAAAAGGCTCTGAACTGCTTATTTCAAAATTGTAATTAAAGTTTGATTCTAAGCCCAGGTTGAGGTGTAAAAACCATTGAATATATCTTTCATCAGCAAGGGAGAAGTACTGCACAATTCTAAAAGGCTTGTCATCTTCCCAAAAGAATTTAAAGCATCATACCACAGTGATATATGCGCTCCCATGTTTATAGCAGCACAGTTTGTAATAGCTAAATCTCGGAAACAGCCCAAATGACCATCCACTGGTGACTGGATAAAGAAGATTTTTTTTTTATAAAATGGAATACTACTCAGCCATAAAGAATGATAAACCAGAGACATTTATAGCTAAATGAATGCATATTGAGGCCATACTCTTAAGTGAAATAAATAGGACACTTGTGTAAATACTGAATAGTCTCTCTGGTGTGAGAAACTGAAAGTATAAATGAGGTCCAAAATATACAATAGATAATGTGAAATAGGAAGCAAAGTTTCAAAGGGGAAGAGGAAGGGGGGCGTGGAAAGGGAAGAAGGGAAAGAAAAAAAATATGAGAACAGAAGAAAAAACAGAAACAGAGCTTTTGTAAATAGGGAGGGGTGAGGGGAGAAATGGAGGGAAGGGGAGAAAAAACAAGAACTAAGATATATGATGTACAGGTACAAATTCTCAGTGATGGATGTGATCATAATGTATACCTAAAATGTACCATTAAATTTAATTTAAAAAATAAAGAAACAATATGGGTAAAATAGCTACCACGGAAGGCTATTTAAAAAAAAAAACTCTTGTCCAATTTTGCTGCTATTTAAGAAGTTATTTTGGGATTAAAATCCATTGATAATCATTACTTTTGAACCTGTACTCACATTTTTCAAATACATTTAAATGTTACATCTTTATTTCCCAGGAGGAAGCTAAATTTAGTCAATATTTTTCTAAGAAAACTTTTTGATCTACAATACTATACTATTAGTAAAACTTTAAATTATATAACAATGAAGTATAATCATGAGATAACTAATTGCCAAAAGTTTATCTAGATTTACACAGCAAAAATCATTTTAATAAGAAATAAATTTATGGGTGTTTTTATTTCCACTCCTCTATCAATTTTGGTTTATATAACTTCAAATTTTTCAGTTGTACAAATCAAATATTTTCACAGAAGTAGAGAATAGAATAGTGGCCACTGGATCCTGGGAAGGGAGTGGAGAGTGGAGAGATGAGAGGTGAGGTAGAATGGGCATGGGGTGAAATTGGATAGTGAGAGAAATAAAATGAGAAGAAACACAAACACCCAAAGCAGGACTTTCATTAAGGGACAGAGCTGCCGGGCTGTCTGGAACAATGGTGAGAACAGCAACCAGGGTTTGGCTGGATGAGGTTTATAAGGGCTGGGGGAGTGTGGTGGAGGCAGATGATTGGCTACAACTGGGGGAGAGGTGGGAAAAACCAGGTCTTTGTTCTCTCTGGAGTGACTCATTTTCTGTAGGCCAGGGCCATTTTAGGATGCAGGGTTGTCAGGGCCATTTTATCTACCAGAGAACTCTATCATCCCAGACTCTTGATATTATTGTGTAATAGGGGCAGAGGTCTCTTTTCTGTACCTGCTTCCTGCTGGCACAGGGGCAGCGATAAAGGGTAACAGGTCTGGGTCCTATGTGATGGTGGTGTGATCTCCCTTGGCGAGAGGTTGATAACCAGCCATAATGAGTTCACCCACTGTCTGATTGGTAAAGGCCCCCAACTGCTCCTGCAAAAACTTTTGAAAACAATGAAACAGGCAGGGTCCAAAAGGTAGGATTATGCAGAGGATAGTGAGGGGTCCCAGGAAAGGAAGAAACCAGGGAAGTCATTGGTTGAAGTAACCTGGTAGAGAGTGTAGCTGGTCTAGGTCTCGTCTACAATTTTCTATATGCTCCCTGAGCTCCTTCACCTTGTCTCCAACAATGCCAGACTGACTGACAAAATTACAGCACTCTTCCCCTAGAAGGAGGCATGGTCACCCTCTTTCTGCTGTTATTGTATCTAGAGCTCGTCTATTTTGGAGTACCACAGCTGCCAGGGAATTGATTTGGGACTGCCAGGTGACCAGAGAGTCAGCTACCTTTTATATCCTCATTTAGCTCTTGAGATAGGGAGTAATAGAAATGTGTTGATGTTGAGATTCCTGTGATCCCTGTGCCTATTCCTGCCAGAACTCCAGCTCCCATTAGGGAAGGGACTACAGGAAGGGCATGCTTGTTAAGATGGTGGATATTGGTTAAAAAAAAAACAATCTAGCACATTTGTTGTCGATATTATCTGTATGACCACTTTAAATTTGGCAGACTATAGGCAAGAATAAACAAGATTTTTAAAGAAATTAGAGCATGGAAAATCTAAGCATGAGCACACTAGAATGGAAGGGCAGGTTGGGGAGAACATCACACTTAGATACTGAAATAGTGAGTGATTGTAACCTGTTGGCTCTTAGATTTTTTATTAATAAAGGTTATCTATAAGCCTGATGCTTTGTTGTAAGTCTCTCTAGTTGTAAAAAGAGACAATTTGAAGAAAAAATCTCACTAAGAAATTTGAAACTCTACCTGAGCTCTTATAGATTTTACCATAGTTTTTAATGATGTATAACTGCGGTCAGCTACCAGTGCAACTGGAAACTGCCAGAAGGCCTCAGTGATTGGAGCCCCCTATTTGTATCTAGCTTTATTATTATGTCATTATTTTTATACCTCTTTTGGTTATTTTGTTGTTGTTGTTGTTGTTGTTGTTGTTGTTGGGTGTTTAAGACCAAGTTAAAGTGAGACCTGTGTCAATTAATGTGAACCTCTTGTTATCTATCAAAGTCAGGTAAGCCTCCTCAGGCCATTATTTTGGAACCATGTGTAGAGCCTCTCTGCTCCTCTGTCAGTGTCAGCCGTCAGGATGGGTCATGGCCTTGGTTGACCATGTAGAGATTTTCTTTCTTGGTGACCCTCCTTTGGCACACAGTACTTTTGTCCTCTGGTGTCCAGCAATCTCACTGCTCAGGAGGTTGAGTGACTTAGGTTCCCTTATGCCTTGGATCTTTGTTGACCTTGAGGGGCTAGGGCCATAATATTGGCTGTCCTCATAGCCCAGTTACCTTTCTAGTTTTGGTCTCCAAACTTTAGCTGTTGAACACCCAGAAGAGAAGATCAATAACATTAGCATTGCAATAGGAGTACTGCACTCAACTGTTATAATCTTATCTGGATATCAACACTTTGAAATATAAAATATAGTTAGAAGACATTGTTATCAATCATGATTGTTGTCGTAGTTGAATTTTTGTAAAATGTTAACAGAGAAAAAAAAGAACTTTAAATCAAGAGCCATAAATAGTATTTTAACATGACAGTCATGATGACCTGATCTTTGTATCACATTTAAATGTCCATCTTGGTATGAAATAGCCATTGTTAAACATACTCTTTAAAAAAAAAAACACCAAAAATTTTTATCTCAATTGTTACCTTTGATAGGATATCATGTAAAGAAAATATCTCAGCCCATAAATGTACCTGTTATCATAAATAGCTGGAGTGTATGAAAAAGGCAAATACCTGAATCAAAAAGAGGTTATACAACATACTAGAGTACAGTCAGAAAGCAAAAATACATTTAGTACACCAGAAAATTAACAATAATAATTATCATAATTATATATATGAGACCTTATGCCCTTTAATTTAGTTTAGTATAAAAGCATCTTTTTAATAAAACCTTGTTATTGTTCTTTTTGTTTGTTTGTTTTATAGGAAATTTAATCTTTTGAAAATGACCAGTGTAAACATATAATAACAACATATTTAGAATTTATCTCTTTGATGACAACTAATGTAAATGTAGTATAATAACATATTTAAGTAATATTTATTGATGTAAGTCTTTTATAAGGCTATGAAAACTATTGAGTCAGTCTGTTGTAAGACAGAAAACTGTTGAGGTCCCCCTAGTGAACAAAGACTGGAAAATCTTTCCATGTGGCCGCTCCTTTGTTCACCAAGGGGAGCATGCCTTGAACTTAATAACCTTTATCTATAAACAAAATAGCTGTACAATTGGACAAACAAACATATAAGGCAATTTATAAAACTAGAATGTGCTCAAATATATTTAGCTCAATTGAATTATAATATCTCTTTATAATTTTTAAGTTTATAACTAAGACTAGTCAAAACTTTTTGTAAGTCAATTAACAGAGATTTCTCGTAGAATTAGAGTCAGAAGGAATGAAAGCTCTTTATGCCTGTAAACCTTTTATAACAAACTTGAAACCAATAAGCAAACATACATATTTCGTTGATAAATCACTTCCACACACCTTCTCGACATACCTAGGCTTTTTGGTCCTGTCTCTTTATCCTTTTAAGAAGACAAACATACAAAATCCTTTCATATCAAAAGTATATCTCTTCTACTTATAGCTTTTTAAATATTTTTCCTCCATCTCACTTACTATAAACCTTCTATAACAAACTTGTCTTCAGCTGTTAAAATTTTAAAGTGTCCCTTTTTTCTTGTTCAAATGGTTACATTTTAAAATTTGACTAGCTGCCAACAGTAGTAACCTTGAGCTCTTCAACAACAAAGTACAGAAAAGAGCAAGTTAACCCTATAAGTACAATACAAGAATTTACAATGCACAAGAAATGTTTTAAGCACACCAATTAAACATTAACTCAAATTGAAACAGATACATTTATCAATTAGCTAAAATGTGTAACTTGATTTTTCTTGTAAAATCTCTTTATGTCTGGTAGAGCACAGTTACAATTTGTCTGGCTTTGTTTTGGATTCCAGAACTTTGCAGGCAGCATCAGGCTGATAACATAGCAGTGGCCTTGGCTCTCAAAGCCAGGAGTGTTTTTTCTCATTATTTTGCTTTCTTAAAAGCTATATTGAGGGGATCATGTTGGCTTGCCTGAGGACCCTCTTCAACTTTTTTTTAGCTTTTTTTTTTAATATTAGGGGCTGACTGAGAGATAAAGTGAGTGTTGATGATGATCATGCCAGGCTGGGAGGTAGGATCAACTTTGGTGTATTTCTGAAGGACCTCAGTGAGGTGCTACAGGAACTGTGCTGGCTTTTTTCATGGGTCTGAGTTATTTTTCTAATCTTATCAAAGTTAACAGACTTGTGAGCTGACTTTTTAAAATCTTCTATGAGGCAGAAAGTCGTATGGTCTCTGTATCTGTACCCTCTCTCTGCCTGGCCTAGCTGAGAGTCCCATTGTGGATCTCCTCCGGGGCGGCCTGTGTTCCCACTGGCTTGGTGTTATCAGCAGCATGAAATTTACCTGCTGTGGTCTGGGCCACCATCCAAACTCTTTCCTTGTCCTCAATGGGAAGGGTAGAAGTGAGTATCATATAGATACTGCGTCAAGTCAGGTCATAGGACAGAGTTAAGTAATGAAATTCTTTGATATAGGAGCCAGGGTCAGAGGAAAAAGAGCCATGACGGGCTTCAATTTGAGAAAGATCTATGAGTGACAAAGGGACAGGGACTCCGATAATATCTTCTGTTCCTGCCACCTCCCGTGAGGGGGCCGCTGAGGGCACCAAGGACAATGAGCAGAAGGATTGGGCGGGTGGGGCAGGGGGCTTGGTTGGCCCAGTCAAAGTGAGTTGTATCTGGTTCTGAGCTGAGATTGGAAGTGGGGGGTGAAACCGCGTGAGCGAGGAGAATTTGGAGGGGGGAGCAGGACTGACAAAGAGACGGGCAGGTGCAGAGGTGGATGAAAGCCTGCACGTGGGGGATTTCATACCATTTGCCACTGCGATAACAGAAATGGTGGAGGTCCCGAAGAACATTCGGGTAGAACATTTCATTTTCTGACCATAGGGACCCATTATCTAATTTATATAGGGGCCATGTTTGGTTGCTGTAAAAGATGAGCCGTTTGGGCTTAATGTTGCCAGCGAGCCCCAGGGTTTTCAGGTTGGTTAACAGACATCGTAGAGGAGTTGAGCATCGGGGTTTGATTGAGCGGTTCCCATATTGGGAGGAGGCCAGATAGGTAGAGTGAGTATCAGAAAAGCTCCCAAGGAAGAGGGAGAAGCATCCTCATCCCCTTTGACACTCTCTGGAGAGAGAGAGAGCGAGCAAGAGGATCCGAGTCAATGGGGAGTTCCCCAGGGGCAGCGGTCCTGGCCACGGGCTGAGAAGAGTCGGTCTGACTTAGTGCTGAGATTTTTTTGAGTGAGAACACTGAGATTTTTTTGAGTGAGAGGCAGAGGACCAAGAGAGAGAGGCTAATCTGAGTACTCACCCAGGAACTGAAGGCCAGCGTGGATGTTAAGAGTCAGCAAGGGCAGGAGTGAAGGCTCCTGGTAGGGTGTTGGCTTGGCAGGGTCCGACAAGGGCAGTCAGGAGGCCAATCAACCTTGGCCAGTGGGGGGACCCTCGCAAAATCCCAATCACATCCCTCCCCGCTGTTCAGCACCAATAATGAGAGAAATAAAATGAGGTGAAACACGAACACCCAAAGCAGAGCTTTTATTAAGGGACAGAGCTGCCAGGCTGTCTCGAACAATGGTGAGAGCAGCAACCAGGGCTTGGCTGGGTGAGGTTTATAAGGGCTGGAGGAGTGTGATGGAGGCAGATGACTGGCTATGACTGAGGGCGAGACAGGAAAGAGCAGGTCTTTGTTCTCTCTGGAGTGACTGGTTTCCTGTAGGCAGGGGCCATTTTAGGATGCAGGGTTGTCCAGGGCCATGTTATCTAGCAGAGAATTCTATCAGATAGGAGATGACTTTGCATGGTGTACTGCACAGTAGAATAACTATGACCGACTGCTTCACGCTAGCTAGTAGGGGAGATGGTAGGTGCTCTTAACACAAAGAAATTACAAATGTCTAAAATGATGGATATGACGATTACCTCAGTCTGATCATTACAAATAGTGTACAGGTACTGAAATAGCACACTGTACCCTATAAATATCCACAATTATTATGTGCCTATTAAACACTAGAAATATATTTTACCAGTCAAATATTTAATCAATGCATTTTTACACTGATGTTAGTGTGTTCATTAATTTTTACTTTTCCAGTGCAGTAATATATTTATGGTAGTTTTACATCGATTACATACTTGCACATTCTCCCAATCCCTTGGCTCAGGTTCTTTGGGACAGTACCCAGGCCCATCCCAGGACTTTCTGCAGTGTCTCCTGCTTCCTCTTATACTCACTGTTTCCAAGAAGTGTGATACATTTCAAAGCATCCCCCAGACACTGTTCCCTTGTATCTCTGGGCTTTTCCACATTTCCTCCAGGGTTAATCTCCATGGTTCTTCTCTGTGTGCTGAAATATTTTCTTTCAAAAAGCAAATAAATATAATTTATTCTACCCCCAGATAGCTCCTTGTCCTTTGTGCTACTACTCTATATATTCATAACATTACTGGTATTATAAAACTCATGTTGTAACTGATTTGTCTATTGTCTGTCTCTCTCTCATTTATCTACCCTCCTATTCATCTATATCTATCATAAGCTTCTAGAGAGAAGCGGCCATATCCTGTTTGAATCCTCATAATCTTGCATGGTACCAACAAAAGTATAACTATTTCTCAGTAAGGACATCTATTTTAAGTCTGAGAAGTGTGGCACAGATATTTCAACCCCCATCTTTCAGGTGATAATATGAGGGCTGGTTTGGATTCATCCAAACCACCTTTGGCATCAGACAGAAGGCATCTTGGCAGCAGAAGAGAACCTGTCCTATGCCACCAATGCAATGCAGAGGCACTGTGTTTCACAGAGAGGCAATGGTTGTGCTTTATTTTAAGCATTACTATGGAATAAGTGCCTTTGTTCCACAGGAAGTAAAGGTATCCACTGTCCAATGAGCCCGTCTTCTTAAGTACTGTCCAAGGAAGTATTTGTCAAGATTACTGCACAATCTGGGTGCAAATAGACTTTCTGTAATCTACATTTATCTCCTTTAAGAAACTGTTTTAATGAAGTATGGTTGCCACACAAGAAAATGGTGTCATATAACATGTACAATTTGGTAAGTTTTGATGCATATATATCTCCATGAAGCTACCAAGACGTCAAGATGATGAGCATGTGCTTAATCTCCAGAGGTTTCTTCATGCTCCTTTATAAAACACCCTACCCTGAACCCATCTCCAAGCACTCACTCATGTGGGTTCTGTCGCTGTAAGTTAGTTTACCTTTTCTAGGGCTTTGTACAAATGCAATCATGCGTGCGTATTTTTGCTTGGCTTCTTTCACTTGGCATAATCATTTTGAGACTCATTTTTGCTGCTGTATATATCAATAATCATCTCTAAGGTCTTTTCCTCTTCTGTCCCAACATGATATCAGGAATGAGAGGCCACATGTTCTGTATCTGTTACCTTAAAACATCACCATCATCTACTCACATTTATATCGTTATCCTAACTCCCCCTTGTTGTCTTTGGGCATCAATCAAAATCAGTTTTTTGACTGTGTTGTCTTTTGAGATATAAATTTCTGGATTCAGTCATATTTCCTGGAAAAGAAGAATTTGAAAAGTGAGCCCCAAGTACCTGTGGAAGGAAAGTCATTGTAGGATTTGTTCAGATCCATGTGTCTTCCAGTGTTCTTAGTGGATTGTAACACACAATGTTTAGTGGGGCTTTCATAGGCTTCTCAGTCCTCTAATTCACCTCAGCTGAAAATTTTCCCCAAATGCTTCAAATAAATTTCCTCAGTGGAATCTTGTCACTACTCATGATTCATATTTTCATTTATTTGCATTATTTCTTCACATATTAGTCCTTAGGCTTCACCATAACATTGTCATTCATCCCTGGAACCAAAGAGAATGTAATGAATGCTTCAAGTAGAATGTATTCTACTTCATCTCAAATGCCCTTTCCCTTTTGACCTAATTTTGACAACTATTTACTTTCTGAATCTTCTCAAATCCATAAATTTTGAATTCAGCTCTTCTTTTCAAGAGCACTTCTTTATATGCTCTTGTTCCTGGCACTATTTTATACTCAGTACCACTAACTTGAAAATAAATAAGTAGAAGTAGAAGTAGCATTGCTTTTTCTTATCAATGGTATACAACTTTGATCCATTTTAAATTATCTCTCATTATCAATAATACTAACTCACTTGTGATCAGTGCATTGTTTTACAAAACTAGCCTCTGGATATCTGCCAGCCCTTCTTTCTCTTTATAAGAAGGGTAACGAATCTCTCTCTTGAGGCTAGGAAATGGAATTTAAAGTTTCATTTCTGTAATAATTAAAATATATTTCATGGCTTGGAGTAATTCCCCTGTGACCTCACACTTTTAAAAATAGAACGGCTTGGGCAAGTCACTTCACCTTCTGGGATTTTAATTTTTCATCCAAAAAATGAAGGGATTTGAAGTCAATGATCTCCAAGTTCCCTTTATCTCCAAGTCTCCATGAATCTGTGACTCTATAACATGTGCCTTGCAGGAATTCTGCAAGAATTAATGTTTTTGAAATAATTT